CTGACTCTAACTCAGGGTTCTGGTTCTGACCTCCTGGTACTGATTCTAACTTGCGGTTCTGGTTCTGACCTCCTGGTAGTCCCCTAGCGGTGTCAGGTACTGCAGCACCAGCCTCTGCTCCATGGCCGGGCTCAGCGGCTCCAGGCAGTAGTCGGATCCGATCACCACGGAGCTCATCTGGGACCAGGAGCTGGTTCCGGCCGGCTCCTCTCCGGTCCGCTCCGCCTCGTCGGCCCGGCCGGAGGTGAAGTTCAGCTTCTGCGTGGCCTTCCTGCCGCTCTCCTTTGCCGTCCGCCTCCTCCCTCCTCCTCGGCCTCCCAGTGGGTCGTCCCTCTCCCTACAGGACGGGTCCGGACTCGCCTGGTAGACAAAGTCTGGCAGCAGCCGGGCCGAGCCGCCGTTCTTCTGGGCCGAGCGGATCAGAGGCGGAGGTCTGACCTTCGGCCTGCTGCCTCCGTCCTCGGCGGCGGCGTCAGCCTCCATCACGCTGGAGGTCGGCTCCACCTGAGAGTCCTGAGGCAGGGTCTGCTGGTTCTGTTGGTTCTGGATGGAGCGACTTGCGGCCTGCTCGGCCTGCAGCTCCTGCAGACGTCGGATCATGATCGGTACCTGGAGGAAGCGCAGACAATCAAGGAAGAATGAAAGAGTTAAGACGACATCAGGCAGCTAGAAGTTACCATGACGACAGGAGAGAACCTAAAACAAACAAACAGAACAAAACCGTAGAACCATAGAGTCTCTAGAGGAGGTCCGACAGAGAGCTGGACCCACCAGCTGAGCGTTCTGTTCCCTGTAGCTCGCTGCCACCTCCTGGTTGCTCATGGCTCTGGCCAGCAGTCCGGTGGCGTAGACGCTGAGCGGCCGCTCGGCCTCGCGGGCCCAGCAGAACATCTTCTCCACCAGACCCTCCTGAAACCAGGAAAACGGACTTTACAGCCTTAGACATGAACCTTCTCTCCACAGACACTCTGCTCTCGTTCACTGTACACGACCCAGTAGAGCAGAGTCCGTCTCTCAGGGCTCGGTTCGTCCTCCTACCTTCTCCTGGAAGACGGCCGACGTCTCCAGACCCGGCATGATGTTCTGCAGCAGGCGGCAGGCGGCCGTGTTCAGGCTCAGCTCTCTGCTGGTCATGATGTACGAATCCAACAGCTGCAATCACATCACTGCTGTTAATACACAGACCTGTGGCGCTGCTTCAGAAAGACTCGTTACTGTCAGAACAGGTTCTAGGAGCACAACCCAAAGACGAAGCCTCTTATTTACATCCATAAACAGAATCCTGCGTCTGAAGCTTCAGTAGAACTAAAGAAACATCTGGTTCCTTCATTTATCATCACTGGACTCTAACTAAACTCAGTTCAGACAGCAGGTTGGGATGAAGCCGGCGTCTCTTACCGCGTTGGTGAAGTCGTCGTTGACAAACAGCATCTTCAGCAGCTGGCCCAGCATGCAGTCTGGGTCGGCCCGGCCTGCACGGGCAGAACGGATCATCAGGTTTAACTAACAGCACATTCTGGGAGTTTCCACTGCAAATAATCAACTAGAAGGAGACAGAACTCAGAAATCAGGAAGAACAAAAAGCATCAAGTGTCCACAGATGAGATCAATAGAACAGATACTGATCGATTGATCACCGGCTGATAGAACCTGCAGCTGTTCAGTCTTCTGCTCCTCATTTGGGCTCATTTTTCATCTTGTTTGTGTCACAAATCTGTTGTTTTCTGTCTCATTGTTGCCATTTCATGTCTCCTCGTCCTGCAGATGTTGAAGATGTTCCACCATCAGATGTTGAAGATGTTCCACCATCAGATATAGAAAGATGTTCCACCATCAGCTGTAGAAAGATGTTACACCATCAGATGTAGAAAGATGTTCCACCATCAGTAGAAAGATGTTCCATCGTCATGTAGAAAGATGTTCCACC